CTATAAAATTTCAGGTTTAAAAATGACTATTTTTATTTAAAAATAAGATTCATGTACATTACTGCAGACTGTAGCAGACGCAGTCTCTCTTCGCCCAGCATGTCTAATAAGTTTAATCAAGTCTGTTTACTTTGAGCACAGCCCCAGTGTGAGACACAAGCCTCTGCTGCCTGCGTAGTCTGGTTTTTATTCATGACCTTACCTTTCGCCTTAAAGGTGAAGCGTAGTCACGGGCCTAACAGATACGCCCTTGTGAAGACATGTGAACTTAAGTCCAGCAGCTACGTCCATTGTTGCAGTGACAGCAGTGGAGTTCTCTTTTTTAGACCTCATCCTAATTTGCCGTTGAAGTAGTGTTTCTTTCTCAGCTGTGTAGCACCAGGCATGTTGATGAGGGTCTCTTTCCTTCATCCATTGCTTCTAATTCTTTTAATGATGAGCACTGCGACATCTCACTTCTAACTTGTCAGATACTGCTGACCTGAAAGACGACTTTGTTCTTGCAGGATAGCCACCCTCACTGCTAGTATCTTTTGGCCTATTATTTTGGGAAATCTTTTCATGAACTTTCAGAAGAATTTGGATTCTGTTTTTACTTGGCTAGGTCAACCTTAATTGAATTTCTTACTGAAAAATTAGCTGAGCCTTGAAAAGTGTTCAAAAGTGACATAGGCCGGCGCCGTGGCTCACTAGGCTAGTCCTCCGCCTACAGCACCAACACACCAGGTTCTAGTCCCGGTTGGGGCGCCGGATTCTGTCCCGGTTGCTCCTCTTCCAGTCCAGCTCTCTGCTGTGGCCTGGGAGTGCAGTGGAGGATGGCCCAAGTGCTTGGTCCCTGCACCCCATGGGAGACCAGGAGGAAGCATCTGGCTCCTGGCTTCAGATCAGCACAGCACACTGGCTGTAACGACCATTTGGGGGCTGAACCAACAGAAGGAAGACCTTTCTATCTCTCCCTCTCACTGTCTAACTCTGCCTGTCAAAAAAAAAAAAGAAAAGAAAGAAAGAAAAACAAAGGTGACACGACCTGAGGCAAGAGTAGGAGCTGTTAGGAGCCAGCAATGTGGCATAGTGGGTAAAATTGTTGCCTGCAACGTCAGCATCCCATATGGGTGCTGGTTTTTGTCTCATCTGCTCCATTTCTAATCCAGCTTCCTGCTAATGGCTTAGGAAAAGCAACAGAAAGTGGCCTGAGTGCTTGTGCCCCTGCACCCCTGTGGGAAACCTGGAAGTAGCTCTTGGCTTCGGCCTGCCCCAGCCCTGGCCATTATGACCATCTGGGAAGAGAACAAGTGGATGGAAAATAATATCTATCTCTAATTCTCTCTCTCTCTCATTTTCTCACTCCCTCCCTTTCTTCCTCCCTCATCCTCCTCCTCCCTTTCTCTCCCTCTATCTCTATCCCTGTCCCATAACTATGACTTTCAGAAGAATAAATAAAACTTAAAAAAAAAAAAAAAAAACAGCTCAGAAGTGTGGAGCCTTTTTGCCTGAGGATGCTGTAGTTAGTTTGGCTGTTCTTGAGATCCTTTTAGGGCTTCAACTTGAATGTTTTGTAAATTTTTTGTATGATGGATAACATTTAAAATCTACTTTTAAAGTTTTCAAACCAGAAGAACTACGACAGGCACTGATGCCAACCTTGGAGGCACTTTACCGCCAGGATCCAGAGTCCCTTCCCTTTCGTCAGCCTGTGGACCCTCAGCTTCTTGGAATCCCTGTGAGTATTTGGTGTACTTCTGAGTTGTTTTTCTTTTGATTTGGTACAGCTCTACTGAGATAGAACTCATATTCTGAGTGGTACAGCCATAACCACAGCTTTAATTCATTTTTATCAATCCCAGAAAGAAACCCCATATTCGTTAGCAGTCACTTGTCAATTCCTCCTGCAGTAGTTACTCCACCGGCCAACCTGTGTGCTCGCCATTTACCTTCTGTCTCTGGATGTTTCGTGAAATGGAAACGTGCACACTGTGCTTGTTTGTCTCAAGGTGCATTCACGATGCAGATGTCAGGATTTCAGTCCTATTTATGGCCCAGTGATTACACTGTTTGATAGATCCCATTTTCTTTACCCATTCATTAAGTGATGGAAATTTGTGGGCAGGTAAAGATTTATTTTATTTATTTGAAAGGCAGTGTTGGGGGGGGGGGGGTTCCCATCTGTTGGTTCACTCCCTAAATGGCTGCAACAGCCAGGGCTGGGCCAGGCCGAAGCCAGGAGCATCTTCTGGGTCTTTCACATTGATGCAGGGTCCCAAGTACGTGGGCCATCTTCTGCTTTCCCAGGTGCATTAGCAGGGACTCAAATCAGTGCCCATGCAGGATGCCAGTGCCACAGGTGTCAGCTTAACCACACTGTGCCACAGCACCAGCCCTGGACCCAGCTACTTGAGCCATCACTTGCTACCTCCCAGAGTGTGCATTACCGGGTAGCTGGAGTCAGGTATTAAACCATAGGCTCTGATAGGGAATTCAGTGATCCCAACCAGCATCTTAACTGCCAGGCCAAATGGTAGCCTCAGCTTTGTCTGTTTTTAAAGTTAACTTTAGGGGCCAGCATGTGGGTACTGTGCGTTATGCTGCCACCTGCAGTGCCAGCATCCCATATTGGAGTGCTGGTTGTGTGTTCTGGCTGCTCCACTTCCAATCCTGCTCCCTGCCAATGTCCCTGGGCAGGCAAAGAAAGATGGCCCTTTTACTTGAGCCTCTGTCACCCATGTGGGAGTTACTGGCTTCTAGAATCAGCTAGGACCAGCCCCATCTGCCCTAAAATACTGAGACTCTTGGGTAATGTCTGGTGTTGCTTGTTCTTCTAGGATTACTTTGATATTGTGAAGAGCCCCATGGATCTGTCTACCATCAAGAGGAAGTTAGATACAGGACAGTATCAGGAGCCCTGGCAGTATGTTGATGACATTTGGCTTATGTTCAACAATGCCTGGTTATATAACCGGAAAACGTCGCGGGTATACAAATACTGCTCCAAGCTGTCTGAAGTCTTCGAACAAGAAATTGATCCTGTCATGCAAAGCCTTGGATACTGTTGTGGCAGAAAGGTAAGAAAGAGCTTCCAGACCTGCCTTTAATTCTCTGAAGATATCTTTAGGTAGAATAAAGTGATGACTGGGGTTTGAGAGGATTCTGCTTCTGGCTCTGATAGAGCCGTGCTCCTGAGGCGTCAGTTGCACTTACTCGCACACCATTGTAGTGTCTGTTTCTATAGAATGAGCTTTCTATAAAGACATTTTTTCACTGGTGCACGTTGTAAGGAAAACCTGACCAAGTTAGAATTCTAAATCATCAGACTAAGTTCATCTGGAAGAGGGATTTTCTGTTCACTGGTCTGTGCACATTGTCCAGCATGTACTGGTTTTCCTGTGCACACCAAGTCACAGTATTGAGCTCCCTGGGTCTTGTTGGAGTCTGCAGAAAGGAGAGAAAAGAATGTGACTGCTAGGCCAGCCTCAGGATGGTGGAATCAGAGCAGTAAACTTAGAATGGGTTTTGGAAGCTGAATAGCCCACTTTGCGTCAGGAGGACGTTTGTTCCTGAATTGCTGTTGTGACTGGTGTAGCTCGTGCTGCAGGCCTCTGTGCTCTTTAACAAATGGTTTCTTTTGCAGTTGGAGTTTTCTCCACAGACACTGTGTTGCTACGGCAAACAGTTGTGCACCATCCCTCGTGATGCCACTTACTACAGTTACCAGAATAGGTAAGCTCAACCACCTGTGGGCCATGGTCTGTGTGTCCGCATGTCTGGGGCCTGCGTGCGGATGGACCAGCCCACAGACAGTCCTCAGTCACATGTAACTGGCTTGAAGAACTCTGTGTGGCACGAGCTTTGTTGTTTGCAAAACTAGAGCATTTTCTGGTGCAAAGTAGCCTGCACTAGTTGTCTAGGCCCTTCTTTTCATAAGGGAGGAGACTCGGGCCTTGGGGAGTTCAGTAACTTTGTTCCTGGTGGCACAGATGGGACCGCATTCCAGGCCCTGCTTCTCTATCCACTGTGCCTTTGTTGAGCACCACAGACTATAGCAAAACAGGAAATTTTCAGACTCCCTAGAAAACTTTTCCCTGAAGCTTTTTAGACAGCTTTTTGGGAGTATTTCCTTTCTGTAAGTTGTTCTCCTCAGAATATATGAAAGCAGGATTGCATAGTACTTGCTTTCCTTCAGTAAGCAAATGTAAAGGGAAATTTCCAAAAACACCTCTGCTCCCTGACTTTGCCCTGCAGAGACGTGGCACGTGACAGGAGGGAAGAGTTCTTACAGACTAGGCACTGCTGCTCGTTCTCGCCCAGTCAGTGGTTGTAATCGCATGAATTCCTATTCACGGATCTCTGCCCCATGGTTGTCTCCTGTTAGTAATGTTAGTAATCAGCCTGTAGAGTAGCTTGTACAGGGATCTGTTTGCACATGTAATACAGTAGCAGCAAGGCTGGACGATTAATACCCTAATTTAGTAATAGCAAACTCGTGCTCTTGGTTTTTATTGAAGTTGTGTGATACAGATGCATTTCTACCACTGAAAAGTCACTTAATCTTTGTTTTATTTGTGATGAATTAGGTGTACTGCTAGTGCTTTTTAAGCATTAGAATACCATTTTTACTCATTGAAATTTCATAAAAATGGTTCTAAAGTTGCTAAAAGCAGCTTATGTTCAAAAACAAGTAACTGGCATGAAACTTGTTAGAATTTGACAATATTTTTGGATTTTTTTAACAGCAATTTGCAGTGTTCTTTGTACTGAGATATGTTTAATCATATACAAGCAAACACCACTGCATTTTTTTAAACAGATTATGCAGACTTTTCAGTGCAAAACACTTATTTTATTTGTGGCTTCTTTGGGATCAAATAGAAATTTTGTTTTTTTGAGTCTGTGGTGCTTTTTAGATGATTTTTTTTTTCTTCTTGGAAGCAGGAAGAAGTGCCATGATGGGCTTTTTAAGTAGCAGAGTAGCCCCACAGTGTCTCTCCCCTCCTCCTCTTGATTATTTAGATCAAGTAGCATTAATTGCTGAAATAAAAGGGTGTGGGTCTGTGTAAGTGAAGCGTTTTTGTTTTTATTTGCTGTAATCATTTGCTACTGTAATCCCATTTGAGATATTTAATGCTAATCTGAGCTTTGCCTTGGCTTTCTGCTTTGTGTTGTACTGTCTTGCTTTTATGTTTTTTGTTGTCCTGCAATCCCTCATTTCTTCGTTTGTTTTGTGTTTTTTTTTTTTCTCCCTCATGCTTGTCGTTGTCTGCACTTGGCTTTGATTGCAAAAAAACAAAAACAAAAAACAAAACCCAAACTGTGGGGCCCATAAATCTGCATCATTGAATGTCCTTGTCGCCGTTGATGACCTGCTCTCTGCTCCCGTCCCTTCCTTGGCCTGCTGTGATTGGTGGCTTCGTTGCTTGGCTTGGGCTGTGTTGTGTGAACGGAACAGTTCACCCCAGTATGGCCTTCTTGCCGACAGGTATCATTTCTGTGAGAAGTGTTTCAATGAAATCCAAGGGGAGAGCGTTTCTTTGGGGGATGACCCTTCCCAGCCTCAAACGTAAGTAACTGCATTATCTTGAAAAGTATGACCTTGCTTGTCTGCTTGATCTTAGGGGATTGTGCTTAGGCTTCTTTCTAAATGGTCTTGCGCTATGTTGTCCAGCTTAGGGAGTCATTAGCCACAGATTTCTATTAAATAGAAATAAATAAAAGTAGAATTAAAAATTGCTTCTTTGTTGCACTATTTAAATTTTGAGTGCTCAGCAACCACCTGTGGCTGGTGGCTGTAGTAGTGACCAGCACAGGTAGAGCACACACCCACCACAACAGCATGTCCTCTTCGCGATGACCAGAGAGGAGGCCCGCGCTGACCGTCCGCTTCCAGGTGGTGAGGATTTCTTCAGAGAAAGAGCAAGCAGCTTCCCTGAATGATCAGTGCACGAGCACTCCATAACGAAGTGCTTCGAGTTGGAGGATTGCGTTAACAAGCACCCTTCTCTTGTAGGCTTACAGAATATGTTAATAGCCATAACAGCGAATAGAATTTAACATGTAGAGGCTTAACTGACTCAATTAGGCAAACTCACTCGTTAACATTTGGTAAATGCCAAGAAAAATTTTCAAGCATATACCCTAAACTAATATTACTTATATTCTCTTAAGATGTAGTTAAATATTGCATTTCAAACTTGGTTTACAAAGAAAAAACTGCTTTGGCAATTTTAATATTCTTGTAGATTCATATTTACTATAAATAAACAGAAGCTGTTGAGAGCATTCCACAGAAATAGGGAATTGTGTTACTAGAATAACAGGGCTTCTGTGCTCACTTCAGCACATATACTAAAATTGGAGCAAAATAGAGATGAGCACAGCCCCTAAGCAAGGGATGACTCGCAAATTCATAAAGTGTTCCATATTTAAAAAAGAAACAGGGCTTCTGAAAAAACATAGTTAGATTTTTCCAAATTGGGTTGTAAAGTTGCATTTTCCATTTCAGTCTCCTGAAATACGGTACAGTTGGAGGCTGGGTGCTGGTGTAGGAGACGAGATAGTGGGAACCTTGAGCTTTTCTGAGCTGTTCTGACTCCTTCCAGAACCAGAGGGGTCAGCCCCAGTGATGCACAGTTTGGCCTGGCTGACCAAATGTTCTACAACTTACAGCTCTGCATCTTTCTGAAGAGTATAGAAACAAACCCCCTACTGGTTCTCCCTGTCTGTGCCAGTAGTGACTGCGAGTCTGCATTTCTGACCAGCTCCCAGGTCTGTCTGGTGCTGCTGCTCTTCAGATTGCATCCTGAATTGATGGTCCTTAGCCATTCAGGAAGATGCTACAGAGATGGGTGGATCTCTAGGCTTTAACTTGTGTAGATGTGCACATGTCTACATTTTTGTAAGCAGGATCCAGTCAAATTTAGCTTTCTAAAGTTGGTTCTGGGTAGAAGATGTTAAGACGATGGGAAGCCATGTGAAATTCTAAATGAAGCACTGTGAAACACAGACTTCCCAATCTAGGGACCTGTAAGAACCTGAAGTGGACAGTTGGCCCTTTGTATCTGCAGGTTCCACATCCATGGATTCAACCAGCCTAGGGTCAGAAATACTCCAGGGTGAGGGGCAGTGTTACTTCCACTGTGGACGTGTAGTTGGGGTGTTTGTTTTGTTTTGTTTTTGTGGTAGTGTTGGAGGGGTTTTTTTGGTTTTGTTTTTTTTTGTCATTATTCACTAAATAACACTGCATACAGAGTGTCTACATAGCATACTAGATAAGAAATTACAATGCATACAGGAATAGGTTATTTGCAAATACCACACCATTTGATTTAAATGGTATCTGTGGTATCATGGAATCAGTCTCCCTTGGAAGCCAAGATGCAGCTATATTTTAATAATGTTGAAATTTTTTGTTGATATAAAAAGTTAAGACTTTCCTGAAAAATACTGTTGTTAAGAGGTGGTTTGCTTCCCCCTCATACAATCCCATTTTATAACTCAATCTATGAACACAGAGTCATAAAAAATATCCTATAAGGGGAAATTATAAGTCTTAAAACAGAATATACCTGATTATGTATGCTCCTATTAGAAGATCTAAAGTGATCCATTTATAGGATGATATTTGTTCATCTTGATTAGAACCGTGATCAGAGTGCTCATTTTTCTCATTACGTCCATCTTTTTTCCTTAGTACAATAAATAAAGAACAGTTTTCAAAGAGAAAAAACGACACACTGGATCCTGAACTGTAAGTAGTTCTTTTATTGTTTTCTTTTTTTGAGATTTATTTATTTGAAAGGCAGAGTCAGAGAGAGAGATCTTTATCCACTGGTTCACTCCCCAAATGGCAGCAACAGCCAGGGTTGGGCCAGGCTGAAAGCCAGGAGCTTCTTCAGTCCTCACACATGCGTGCAGAGACCCAAGGACTTGGGTCATCCTCCATGGCTTGTTGGAAGTGGAGCATCTGGGACTTGAACCAGGTGCCCATAATGGATACCGGCATTGCAGGCATTGGCTTAACTGGGTAATGCCACGATGCTGGCCCCTGTTGTTTTCAGTGACCTAAATGCACGTAACATGTCTACCATAGCCAGCAGAAATGTGAAAGACACTCCAGTACTAAGGATGCTTGTCTACATTCAGTTAGTACTCATGTATGTTCCACTAAATTAACTTAATGTTTGGGCATTTCATGGGCCTAAGTGAAGCACCAAGTTACCTCTGCTGGCCACGATGTGTTCCAGCCCTGTTCCTTCTGCATTTTCAGGCCATAACTCATACTCCTTCAGTTTATAGTGAGACCTTTTGAAGCCTGGAGCCCTGAAAAATGCAGTACTCCTATGTGTCCTAAAAAGAGTAGGATGGCGTTGCTCATAAGTTGGTTTTTTGTTTTGTTTTTTTTGTTGTTGTTGTTGGTTTTATTTATTTTTTTTCTGACAGAGTTAGACAGAGAGAGACAGAGAGAAAGGTCTTCCTTCTGTTGGTTCATCCCCCAAAAGGCCATTATGGCTGGCGCACTGCGCCAATCCGAAGCCAGGAGCCAGGTGCTTCCTCCTGGTCTCCCATGCGGGTGCAGGGCCCAAGCACCTGGGCCATCCTCCACTGCCTCCCCAGGCCACAGCAGAGAGCTGGACTGGAAGAGGAGCAACCGGGACAGAATCCGGCGCCCCAACTGGGACTAGAACCCGGGGTGTTGGCACTGCAGGTGGAGGATTAGCCTAGTGAGCCGCGGCGCTGGCCGTTGCTCATAAGTTTTAACAGCAAGTAATCTTTCTCATCTCCTTTCCAGTCAGATTTAATGACTGAATTTTCTCTTTGCAGTTTGCTCTGCTCATAACACTAAAGAACTCTTTTAAAAGTAAAAATTTGGTTAAAACAATTTTTTCAATTCATTAGACTTTTTTACCTTAGTTATCTTTGCATCGTCAGGAATCACAGGAAACGGTTGGTTAGAGATCTGGGATTAATGCTGGAATCGCTTTGCACCTCCAGGTTCGTAGAGTGTACCGAGTGTGGAAGAAAGATGCACCAGATATGTGCCCTCCATCATGAGATCATCTGGCCAGTGGGGTGAGGCTTAGGTCTTCTTTGCAGTGACTATCATTTCTTCAACAATTACTGTCTTTAACAGTTTTTCTGTTGATTGGGAAAGGGTCGTTACAGTCCAGTTTTAACACATTAAAAGTCCTAGAATCTGAAAATAAAAAATAGATCTTTCTCTTATTTGCATGCATTCTTCAATTCATACATTTTTCTTTCTTTTTCTTTTTTTTTTGGGGGGGGGGGGCTATTGTACATCAAAAGTAAACCTGGTAGATAAGGCATCTGGAAAGTAGCAAGCAGGTATTAGATGTGATTAAATTTGGCAGATTTTGAATTTATTTGTATTACAATAGAAAAATTAGGAGGACAGGGCATCAAAGGGGACAACTCTGTTGCTACTGCAGAAAACACACACTAAGCAGTGATCAGAGTAAGGACTGTCTGCTAGTAGTGAAGACAAGAAGCTGCAGAGCTGTAGTCATGGTGTCCTGACTCTTCCTGTCCCCGAATGAGGCTTCCTGGCTGTGTTCCCAAGTCGGGGGGGCGGGGTCTGGGTCACAGTACCTCTTGGTAGGATGGAGTCACCACATTGCTTCTGTTCCTCTCCTGCTCTGATTGTTGATGTTGATTCGGTGGTCATGGGAGAGGGGAACTGACGGATTTTGTGAAAATGGCAGTAGCTACATTTCAGTTTTCAGTGAGACTTGTCTTTAAGTGCACCTTTTTAGTTAGTACTTGCCTTAATCACACACTTTATAGGAATGACTAAGATACTTCTAAGTAATTCTTACAATTTGGGATCTGATGGTTAGAGATAAACTCCTTAATTAATTTATTAAGATTGCTTTTTCTTATTCTAATACTTTAAAATTTCAGAGTAAAGGAAATAGTGAAGGTCTTGCCTTCTCCCCTCTTACTCAGATTGCCGCAAGAATAACCATGGCCAACAGTTTACAGTTTACAGACCTTTTCTATGCACATTCATAATTTTATTGTTCACACGTAATGTTCTGAATTTTTTATTCTTACCTCATAGATTATGGACATTCATATTTATTTGAGGGGCAGTGATGCCTAGAGAGCTGCCGACTACTAGTTCCCTCCCCAGATGCATGCACGGCTGCCATTTCAGTCCAGGTCCCTGAAGTGGGTGGCAGGGACTCCAGGACTTGCTGTCCTCTGCCCCTGCAGCATGAGGCTCAGCAGAGTGGGAGTGGGAAGGAGAGCTGAGAACTCGGGCACTCTCGCGGGGCAGGATCCCCAGGGCACCTTTCATGAGATGCTGCTGTACACACGTTGTAAGCAGTTGCGGGAACGGAGGGATGTGTGCACGTTGTGCACCTGTTAGTCCTGCTCTCAGTGCATCCCCGTGTCAGCACCTGTGCCCGTGTGATTGGCAGCACAGAGCTCCCATCTTCGCTTGTAATCTCTGCAATCAGTTTATTTGCCCTTCACATTTCTTCCTGTCTATTACCGTTTTCCCATTAGGTTGTCTTTTTGTTGTACTAATTTCTGAAAGTTCTATGTATATTGCGTGTGTTCCCATTTTGTTAGCTATGTAGAGAGATTTCTGCCAGGTTGTTTCTTGAATATTTTACTCAAATAGTGGGTTTTGTTACAGATGCTTCTTTAAGTGCTTCTCTGAGTTGTGTAAGCAAAGCTTGGTTTACATTTTAGATTTGTCTGTGATGGCTGCTTAAAGAAAACTGCACGAACTAGAAAAGAAAACAAGTTTTCTGCTAAAAGTAAGTTACTTTCTTACAGATAAGTCTGGCAAAGTTTCTCTGAAGCCTAGTTAAGAAACCATCCAACATGAATTATTTTAACTTTAATTATAATTATTTAGCCAGAGTTAAAATAAATCTGTGATCTACTTAGAACTGAACTGTAATGTGCTTTTTGATGTAAAATTCCTGAGACCTAAAAGCAGAAAATTATCAAAAAAAAAAAGGATTGTAAAATATACAAGACACATGTTTTTCTTACTGGGGAATTTCTCCTTGTTTCATAATAAAGGCCAGAGGTTGATAAGAATTGCCATCCCTTGAGTGTTCTATTAGCATTTATAGAGGACACCTTTAAGCCTTACCTGATGTTTTCGCTGGTGGAGAGGTCAAATTGTATTACACACATTATTGATACAGACGATCTCACTGAAGTATCAGGTTTAGTTTTCTTCATGCCTTGTAGTATTTTGTGGTTGCTCTTGATTCCTGTAATTCTCCACCATTGTTATTAAAATATCATTGTAGTCCGTGCAAAGTATATGTGGATGTTCATTGGTGTATATTTTTAACTTCCAAAATTGAAATATTTTCCAAATAAAAATTTAGAATATTGAGTACCATACCTATTGTAACAATGCAATACACCAAAAATGGAACAACACCCAAGAAGTTAACATGGCCCCTGCGCTAGTATGATATGATCGATATATACTGACTACCTTTTTGTTGTTGTTGTTTGAAAAGAGCACAGTTGCCATTTGAACCTTAAGAGTGATGTTACAGATGTGCCTCTTGGTAACTTAACTTGTCTGTTTCTAGGGTTGCCGTCTACCAGACTTGGCACCTTTCTGGAGAATCGTGTAAATGACTTTCTGAGGCGGCAAAATCACCCCGAGTCTGGAGAGGTCACTGTTAGAGTAGTTCATGCTTCTGACAAAACTGTGGAAGTCAAGCCAGGCATGAAAGCAAGGTATCTGATATTTCTCTTCTCTTCTTTCATGAATGCAGAGTTGCTTATACGTGCTTTCTTTTGGTGATTGCAATCTGAATGAGGCATGTTGTGGTTTTCCCCTCCGATCTGACTTGTATAGGTTTGTAGATAGTGGAGAGATGGCAGAATCCTTTCCATACCGAACCAAAGCCCTCTTTGCCTTTGAAGAGATTGACGGTGTTGACTTGTGTTTCTTTGGAATGCACGTTCAAGAGTATGGCTCTGACTGCCCTCCACCCAACCAGAGGTATGGTTGCCTTATTACTGTGACTAGCTTCTCTTTGTGTGGGAGTTTTAAGTTACAATAGATGGAAGAGCAATAAGGAGCAAGAGAGTATATGGTGGACTTGGTTTAGAAATGCAGGATCTTAAGTGTCCAATAGTGTTAAAGTGAAACATTAATAATAAAACTGCTCCAAAAAATGACTGCTCAACGCCACTTGTGTGTGGAAAAGGATACAGAAAGCAGGCTGAAAGTGGAAGTAGAAACCAAACTCACTACTTTTCACAGACAGGCTTAACATCTAGACTATTAGAGTTATAGGAAAGAATGTCAGATAAACAGGGTAGGGTATGGTTGAAAATTTCTTGTCTCCAAAAATACCTTGAAGGCCCAAATAAAAATCTGTCAGAAAATACAATTAAGTGCCAGGCAGTGGTTGGTGCCAAAAATATCATGAAGTATGGGCTCAGTCAACTTCTGTAAAGGGTAATAATCTAGTCCTTTACTTAGTCTGGGGTGAGCTTGACAAGTGACAGCACAAGCAAAGAGCAGAGAGAGGGAAGGTGTTTAGCTGCATAAAACACAGACTCATTGTGTGACCTGTGTTCCTTCACCTAGGAGAGTGTACATATCTTACCTCGACAGTGTTCACTTCTTCCGTCCTAAATGCTTGAGAACTGCAGTCTATCATGAAATCCTGATTGGATATTTAGAGTATGTCAAGAAATTGGGGTAAGCATATTGATAATGTTTTTAAAAACAATTATTGTATTGTGAGATGTAGGTCAAGATGTACAATAAGTAGCTGTCCTTTTAAATTTGTTGGAACCCATTTGAAGTTAGGGGCTCCAGCCCTTCTTTATTCTTCAGTGGGAAGAGATTGGTACTTCTCCAGTTCCGCCCATCCCACTTCAGGTTCACTTTGTTCACTTTGGATGATGGATGGGTAGGTTAGAGCGGGTTTTTTTGTTCTTGTTTTTCTGTTTTGTTTTTTAAGGTTGATTTATTTATGTGAAAGAGTTTCAGAGAGAGGGAGAGACAGAGATGTATCTGCTGGTTCACTTCCCAGATGGCTACAACAGCCAGGGTTGGGCCATGCTAAAGCCGGGAGCTTCATCCAGGTCTTCCATGTGGGTTCAGGGGCCCAAGCACTTGGATCATCTTCCACTGCTTTCCCAGGACACAGCAGAGAGCTGGATCTGTTGGAACCAACACCCATATGGGATGCCAGTGCTGTAGGTGATGGCTTAGGCTGGTATACCACCACACCAGCCTGGCCAGAGAGGGCAGAAATCGTAAACTGTGTCTGATCCTTTTTATACCCCTCTATCAAGACCAAAAGCAAATTAAGCAGTGGAAATACTTCCTTACCTCTCAAGTACATATGTCCTTGAGAACATTCACCACCTTTTCCAGCCGGTTTGTTTCTGGTGGTTGTTTTGTTTTGTTTTGTTTTGTTTTGTTTTGACAGGCAGAGTGGACAGTGAGAGAGAGAGAGAGACAAAGGTCTTCCTTTGCTGTTGGTTCACCCTCCAATGGCCACCACGGCCAGCGCGCTGCGGCCGTGCCGGCCGGCGCATCACGCTGATCCGATAGCAGGAACCAGGTGCTTCTGGTCTCCCGTGGGGTGCAGGGCCCAAGCACCTGGGCCATCCTCCACTGCACTCCCTGGCCACAGCAGAGAGCTGGCCTGGAAGAGGGGCAACCGGGACAGAATCCGGTGCCCCGACCAGGACTAGAACCCGGGGTGCCAGCGCCACAAGGCGGAGGATTAGCCTAGTGAGCCGCGGCGCCTGCCTCCAGCTGGTTTTAACAGTTTGTCTTTGACTTAGCCTCTGTTGTTCTTTTTTTAAAATTTTATTTACTTGAGAGCAGAGTTACAGATGGAGGGACAGACAGGGAAAAAAAGGTCTTCCATCCACTGGTTCAGTCCCCAAATGGCTGCTGAGCCAATCTGATGCCAGGAGCTAGGAGCTTCCTCCAGGTCTCCCATATGGGTACAGGAGCCCAAGCACTTGAGCCCTCTTCCACAGCTTTCCCAGGTACATTAGTAGGGAG